GGTAATAATTTAAAGAGTAGTATTATTACTTGATTCAAGGAGTCATCATTTGATCGAAGATCCTATTCATTTTTCAAAATAATCTTGAATTTCCGTTTAATTTTGACGTAGGTTTGTTAAAATACACACGTCAATTGTGTAAAACTCTAAAAACAGTAATCAACAAGCATTTATGAGTGCTTCTTATCTATTTAAAATTCAGATTAAAAGCAGATCTTGTATTACCTTGAAATATAGTATATATCAAGTTATATTTAATTTCCATGCAAGTAGAAAAAATGGAAAGGGTGTTGCAACGTCAGCGGACACTCGACACTAGCCAGTCTCAATGTGTTGTAGGCCGAAAATAGAGGGGAGAATTTCAAGTGTCCTCTTTTGAGTGATATGTGGCGAGAAAACAAATCTAATCTGATTGGAATTTTACGTCGCACTACATGCCTGGGCATAAAATCGCCTTGTTTAAAACAATAGATCGATTGATTCTGGTAGGATTTGTCGTAGGCAGCAATTTTTCAATAACATAACAATACCATCAGAACGCAATATTTATTTAAAAACTGCTGAATCTTTTACAAAATTTGTATAGTACAGATTAAAATAATACTGTACAACGTCCTTTCCTAATTAAAAAAAGTTTCAACAAATTAGACGAATTGTTAAAATTTATCTAAATCTTATTTTCTATACTATGCAGGTTGTGATGTATCTAGTGGCACCACTGGATTATTCAAAAACTCCTTGACATAGAAAGTACAATTATTTTTATGAAAAATGTCGTAAACCATTTGAAAATGGAATCATAAAAACTTTAGATAGTATTGGACCACATGGTATTCTTAACAATGGCTCAATCTAGAAGAAAATCGAATTTTTTAAATCATAAGTTTTACTTTTAAGCAGTAGAATACAATTACCTGTTTTTATTTCACAAGCTCGGCTTTTGAACATCCCGAAATGGAATTTTACGGTTGTTTTTAAAAAGTCAAAAAATGAAATTTTTACAATTGATTGTGCGAATTCATAAAGTTTATTCGGATTTATGATAAATGGGAAAAACGATGTGAAAATCCGTTCATGAAAATGTTAGATATAGTTTCATCTTACTGGTAGACCCCTGGTTTTCTCAAATAATTACTCAGCCTAGACAAAAAATTAACAGTTTTTATTTTATAAGCTCCATTTTAAACATTTCAATATATAATTACAGTTTGTATCAGTGTCTTTAAAAGTTAAAAAAATTAAATTTTTTTTTTTTTAATTACATTTATTTGGTATTAACAACTACAAGTGATGTATTAATAGATATGTTCATATATGTTGAATTCCCATTTGAGACATTTGTAGGAGAAGTTTTTAGTTTTAGTTTTTCAGAACTATGACTTGCGACATAACACTAATATTGCAAAAAGTAATACTTATTGAAATGTTAAAAGTTATAGCTTATGATTAAAAGTCGTAATCTTTTTTTAACTTTAAGCTTTACCTATTCTAATGTTTATATTATGTTTTCTTAATTTTCTTAAATACTTTTACTTTGAACTCCTCCATCTACTACACTTCAACGTTTCGAACAAATGTAGAAAGATGATGAATTTAATTGTAAACTAAATAAATTGAGTGTTACGTTAAATTTGTCCATCAGTGTGTTTTTAATCTAACTTAAAAAGATAGGAAAATGCTATGTGCTTGCTCTCCCCCAATAAATAAATAAAACTCATTCATTCCGTGAAGACTGTTCATGTGATGTTTTCTGTTATGTTTTTATATTTTGAGTGCCTTTTTTTTTCAAAGTTAACTCACAAGTTTGATCTCAATTACCTGAAATTGTTTTTGATGTAAAGTCGCACTGAAATTCCATGCAGGCCGAAAACCTTCGTATTTCAACCAGCTAACACTGAGCACTGGCCACTCCCAATTGTCGAATGGAAGATAGTGGGGATATTTCAAGGATGGTTCGTTAAGTGAGAAATCTGATCTCGTTCCGATTGAAATTAAGACTTAAAAAAACATGAAAAATATAGTTTAAAAACGGGCCCAATATACACAGAATATTTATGGAACGGCAATAAGTCGAATGATGGCGGTTATTGACTTTGTTAATATTTGTAATGTGTGTTATACGACCCCGGAACCATAAACAAGATATAACAACCCTTTTTAAAAGTATACGAAATAATGATCGAATTAGTAAATAAAAAATAATATTGAAAAAAAATCATGAAAAGGTTTTGCTCTTTGGAAGTACTACTTTTTTTAAAGAAAGTACACGATTTGTAAAAGACCTGATGGCATTAATGTTAGAATTTTAACTATAAATTTTAATTACACATTCTAATGTTATGTTGCACATGTCTAATGTTATATTATGTTTTTTTAAATACTTTTACCTTGACTTTATCAATCAATAATTATCTAAACTTGAACGATTCGTGTACCTTCAATTTCATAAACTTTAAACGTCACCTGTAGGTTGAACCGTCCACTTTAACAACTCGACCCAGCAGAGAACATTTTATTTATCCGTCTGCTTTTCGTAGGTCCTTTTGCTTTTTTTCGGTAAAAACAAAGTTCTAGAAATTTTGCTGTATATATTTTGCAATTTTGAGGAAAACAAACTACCCTTACCTAAAGTATTGCCCATTTGTACTTTTTGTACCGTTTGGTATCAACATATAACACACGAATTGTCTATATCATTGGAATGAAATGAAAATTCATCTTAAAAATTACCATGTATGCACTGTTCTAAGTATACCGTTTCTCGGACTGACTTGTAATTGTACCCTTGTGATTTTTATCGTGATAATTTTTTTCTCTCTGTGAAAAATATAAATAACTCACTTGTTTTCGTGGTCCGTTTGACCAATTAATATCTTTTAATTAATTAAGGTTCTTACGTGAGATAAAAAGTGGCAAAACTGTCAAGAAAGGAGGGAAAATTCAAAAGGTGGGGTTGATTGGGAAGTTAGTGTCCGAGTGGATCGAAGACACGATAGCTCAGGTGGTAGAGCAGCGTCGTATGTATCCGAAGATCGTGGGTTCGAATCCCGCTCGTGACATTGACTTTTTTATCTCAACTAAGAACCTTAATTAACTGTAAATAATATGAAAGTAGCGTACGGCGTTTTAACAATGCTATAATTATTGTCAATCAGCTTTTTGTTTTTAATTACTCCATTATAGATAAAATAATTTACACAGGTATAAAGGGTCAGGTCTTCCGCGTACTCTGATCATTCAACCGTTTACCGAAAAACAGATATATGTTTCAATAGAAGGTTTTTCCTACGTAATTTTGATTTTATAAAATGTCTAGTGAAATATGAGTTTAAAATTATTCGCAAGATTTAGTTTTTGTCAATTTAAATTTCGTAAACTTAATAAAACCAACTCCATTTAAACTCCTGCTATCCATGTGTGAAAAATATGTCGGATAAATAAACTGGTGGCGTTTATTTGCCATTATTTCCACTTGTCAAATGGTTAGGAGGGCGTTTGAAAATATCAACATTTGGGCAACTTTGTCAAGTATGATTTATTTTAACATATCTAAATTATCCATTTTGAGCAGCTATATACGTTGCATTTTTTCCACTTATAATTCACTTTGTTTTCAACAATGTAATTACGCGTTTTGCTATGTTCTCTCTTTTATTTTTAAGATAAGGATTATAATGATTCAAATTTGGAAAGAAAAAACCGATCTTTTATCAAGCAAAGTAATTAACCAGCACTTTTTATATGATTTATTAGCTCTCGGGGAAAGTTGAACACAAATGAGTAAAAAAAGGAGGGGCGGGACCTTGGCTTGAACACTGTCTCACCAACTGTAGACTTACGAAGTCTCTCTCTCCATTTCATTCTAAGTTTGTCTCAAGGAATTAACGTAAGGTGGTATGCACAACTTTTTAAGAAATGGGATAAGTTGCCGGTTAAAAACGAGAAGATGGTGGAACGGGTGAAAAGTGTAAATTAGAAACATGTTAACTTGGCCGCGTAATGTTTATTACATTAGACGACGGTGAGAGGAGAAGGAAAAAGGGTGGTGGATCGTAAAAAAACTGTCTTAGTTAATTACTCTAGACACGCACTTCTACTCTATAATATTTACGATATAGCCCACCTCATTTTCATCACACCTGAGCTTAATTTTTTTTAGAAAAATACATTTTTCAAAACTTACCTCGCGCTCGGCTCCACAAATTTCATTTAAAATCATATTAAATTTAAAACAAAAAATCAGAGAGGTAATGTAAAAAATATTAAACTCAAAAATATAAATACATTCTTTTACATCCACTCTCTGTCCTTCTCTCTCTCACACACACTCTCTCTCTCCCTTTCTCCCTCCCTCCCTCTCTTTCCGACTGATCGTATTTTATATTATTGTTTGATAGTGCTTTAATATTCGTTTATATAACTGGAAAAATTAATGCTTAAATCAAGTTGTGAACAGAGGGAAAGATCGATTTCATTTATTTTGTGTAATCTATTGAGTAGTTACTTACGTAGTATATTGTACTACCTTTCAGTCATCCTAACAACTCTTAGTTATAAATTTATTGTACATATCCATTTTGAATGATTGTTCTATCTCACAGAAAGCTGTTTTATAATTTGTATAGTTTTTGCTGTCCATAAAGAAACCTGTTTTCAGAACATAATAAACTGATGACATGAAATAAAAAGATAAAACATTGAAAGTATAACAAATGAGTATTAAATATAGGTTTTAATAAACATTAATTAAAATATTTTATTTTATTGATTAACTAGTTAAACATAAGTTATTTGATTATGTGCAGAGATTAGTGACCGTTAATCGATAGTTGTTCAGATATCATGAGATGGGGTCGGGTGTGATGTAGGTTTCAGAAAAACGTTGGCACGATAAAGAAAATGTTTTTCTGAAACCTACATCACACCCGACCCCATCTCACGAAATCTGAATAATTATTTCATTATGACTAATATATAGTTCCACAGAATTATAACAAGTTTACATATTTCTGTATGTTTAAAACGGATAAAACACGCACATCCACATACGTAATAATCAACCTTATACGATTTTAGAAAGGGGTTTGTTATTTTATGATTAAAAACCTTTTATGCTTTATTGATGTATATTACTTTTAATCTTTGTCATTTTTAAGTAGCCATGAGATGCTGACAAAAAAAAGCTTCTTTTATTAAATTCCACAGGGAATTTTGCTTTTTCCCCTAGTTTTATGGAGAAATTTTCTATTATTTTCGACAAGCCAAGTTTCATTTCCATTATGGCAAACCTCATTCCTTAAAAAAATTGATAAAAGGAAATTATATTTTTTTAAATCACGGAAGAGAATATATATGACTAGTTGATATTTACCGATGCAAACTCGAGGACCAGCTCCAAAGGGTAAATATGCAATATTTTTAATTGGT